TTTGATAGTTTTAGGGGGGGCGCACCGGGTGCACCCCCCCTTCCCCCTTAAATCCGACACTGTCAAATATAGCATCCAAAACATGTCTGGTACTAATCATCACTGATCAGTGACCATCAAAGCAGGTTTGGTCTACATTGAGCTCATGATGTAGATACTTTGTTAACAAATCTGCTCCAAAAATTTTATTCTCAGACACCAGAGACAAGGGGATACCATGATTTCTCCTCAACTTCGCAGAGGTCATTTAGTTAATGATGGAAAGGAGATTGTATTCAACAGTAAGTGTACAAGTGCAGGCACCACTGATGTGAAAAAGATATATTCAATAGCCATTGCTCAAGAACTTGTAAATAAATAATGATGGAAAAAAGGATATATTCAACAATATTTGAGTTTGAGGGTGGAAAACCTTGTCAACAATTTAAAATATGAGAAAATGCAATGCATAAAAATATTCTTTATTAAATAAAAAGTAAATAAATTTGAAATATCACAGATCTGAATAAACAGGTTAAAATGGAAGGAATGTATTATTTACAATAATAATTACTTCACTTTGAAGATTAAGACTCTTTCAACATTTGGCACATATGATGGAGCTCTTCCTGAATATTTAAAATAGATGGTGTCTGGCTCTTCATATTGTTTTGAACTTTAAAGTATAACTTGGTTTTATTGGAATGGAGTCCATATGCACCATCTCTACAAGGCCAGTCACAGGAAATTTGAAACTGACACCAATACATTGAGGAATGGTTAACATGTAAATCAATGTACTAAGTTCATGGCACAAAAACACCAAAATAACCTTTTTTTAACATCAACACCTTGACATTATTAGCAGTATTACACATTTATCAAGTATCAGATCATGGATTTATATTTTTATACATCAGCTTGTAGAAGACCATGCCATGTGTGCAATATATCAAATGTATGTAAAAGTGTGTTTCAGAGTTAGTGTGTTGTGTGTATGCAAGTTAAACATCCATGCCCATGGGTTAATACAGTTATGTTCATTCTACAAGATGAACACAAACTGTTTTTTTTTTTTCTCGAAAATATTGACTTATGTTTCTATCTCAAAAATGTTTTTTCATGAACAATATTTCCCCATCTTATTGATACACAGCTAATTTAACACATCCTTTGTTAAATACATGACAGTCCAATTGAGGATGACAAATAAAGAACAATAAAAAAAGAGTGAATGGGGGTTAAAAATTCACAATATATGTCATTGAGCAGTTTCAATTTCCTTTTCACAATATCATATACATAGAATCATCATGTAATACTCTTGGACAAAGTTTTGTTATCAGTATGGATAACAAGATGTGTTTGTGAAACACTGATGACCCCGTATGGCAGCTTATGGTGAAGGTTAAAGTTTCTCAAATGCAAGTCAAAATCCAGGCCAAAAGATAAAAAATGTTGGTACCCAAAGAAAGGTCATGTCTCAAGGAATATACCTGTGAAATTTGAAAGCCCTAGATGCAACTGTTCAAAAGTTATGGCAAAGGTTAAAGTTTTTAGCTCACCTGAGCTGAAAGCTCAAGTGAGCTTTTCTGATCACCCATTGTCCGTCGTCCGTCCGTCTGTCTGTCTGTCTGTTCGTCCGTCCGTCTGTAAACTTTTCACATTTTCAACTTCTTCTCAAGAACCACTTGGCCAATTTTAACCAAAATTGGCACAAAACATCCTTGGGTGAAGGGGAAGTTAAATTCTTAAAATGAAGGGCCAAGCCTCCTTACAAGGGGAGATAATCAAGAAAAGGCAAAAATAGGGTGGGGTCATTAAAAAATCTTCTTCTCAAGAACCACTGGGCCAGAAAAGCTGAAACTTATGTGGAAGCATCCTGGGGTAGTGTAGATTCTAAATTGTTAAAATCATGACCCCTGGCGGTAGGGCGGGGCCACAATAGGGAATCCAATTTTTACATTGAAATATAAAGAAAAAATCTTTAAAAATCTTCCTCTCAAGAACCACTGGGCCAGAAAAGCTGAAAGTAATGTGGAAGCTTCTTGGGGTAATGTAGATTCTAAATTGTTAAAATCATGACCCCCGGGGGTAGGGCGGGGCCACAATAGGGAATCTAAGTTTTACATTGAAATATATAGAAAAAATCTTTAAAAATCTTCTTCTCAAGAACCACTGGGCCAGAAAAGCTGAAACTAATGTGGAAGCATCTTGGGGTAGTGTAGATTCTAAGTGTAGATTTTAAATTGTTAAAAACATGACCCCCGGGGTAGGGTGGGGCCACAATAGGGAATCCATTTTTTACATTGAAATATATATGAAAAATCTTTAAAAATCTGCTTTTCAAGAACCACTGGGCCAGAAAAGCTGAAACTTATACGGAAATATCATGGGGTAGTGTAGATTATAAATTGTTAAAATCATGACCCCTGGGATAGGATAGGACCACAATAGGTGTATTACATGGGGGAAAGTCTGGTGAAGAACAGCAGGGCCAAAGTTACTCAGGTGAGTGTTGTGGCCCATGGGCCTCTTGTTTAGAATTAAGTAAAACATCAAGGTCAAGGTCAAAGTTGTTGGTATCCAAAGGAAGGTCTTATCACAAGGATTACATATGTGAAGTATGAAAGCCCTAGCACCAACCATTCAAAAGTTATGGCCAAGGTTTAAGTTTTTCAAAAATAGGTCAAACTCCTATGTCAAGGTCAAAGGGTCAAAGTGGTTGGTATCCAAAGGAAGGTCTTGTCACAAGGATTACATATGTGAAGTATGAAAGCCCTAGCACAAACCATCCAAAAGTTATGGCCAAGGTTAAAGTTTATCAAAAGTAGGTCAAACTCATTTGTCAAGGTCAAAGGGTCAAAGTGGTTGGTATCCAAAGGAAGGTGATGTCACAAGGATTACATATGTGAAGTATGAAAGCCCTAGCATTACCCATTCAAAAGCTATGGCCAAGGATAAAGTTTTTCAAAAGTAGGTCAAACTCCCATGTCAAGGTCAAAGGATCAAAGTAGTTGGTATCCAAAGGAAGGTCTTGTCACAAGGATTACATATGTGAAGTATGAAAGCCCTAGCCTTAACCATTCAAAAGTTATGGCCAAGGTTAAAGTTTTTCAAAAGTAGGTCAAACTCATTTGTCAAGGTCAAAGGGTCAAAGTGGTTGGTATCCAAAGGAAGGTGATGTCACAAGGATTACATATGTGAAGTATGAAAGCCCTAGCTCCAACCGTTCAAAAGTTATGGCCAAGGTTAAAGTTTTTCAAAAGTAGATCAAACTGCTAGGTCAAGGTCAAAGGGTCAAAGAGGTTGATATCCAGAAAAAGGTCTTGTCACAAGGAATACACATGTGAAGTTTGAAACCCCAAGCACCAACTGTTCAAAAGTTATGGCCAAGGTTAAAGTTTTTCAAAAGTAGGTCAAACTCCTATGACAAGGTCAAAAGGTCAAAGTTGTTGGTATCCAAAGGAAGGCCTTGTCACAAAGAATACATATGTGAAGTTTGAAACCCCAAGCACCAACTGTTCAGAAGTTATCACCAAGGTTAAAGTCTCATAAAATTTTGCAAAAGTGGGTCAAACTCCAAGGTCAAGGTCAAATATGATGGTACCCAAAGAAAGGTCTTGTCACAAGGAATACACATGTGAAATATGAAAGTCATAGCTCCAAACAATCAAAAGTTATGGGCAAGGTTAAAGTTGACAACAGACAAATAGACAGACAGGACAAAAACAATATACCCCCGGGATCTTTTGATCTGGGGGCATAAAAATACACCGAGGTATATATATCAACTATGACTATTTCATAACAAAGACAGTCACTTATGGATAGATAACAGAGCCTTTTTCCTAATTCAAATGACATCATAAAGAAACCTTAATAAATGGGAAAAAATTCCACTTCATACAACAGGATTTCACAAAAAGAGCACTTGCTACAAATAATAAGTAAATTTTTAAACGACCAATTATGATAGAAACAAAAAATTTACACAACAGTGGAATAAGGTAAAACTTTTGAAATGTTTATAAAATTTTGTTGTTCAAGTAGATAGTGTTAATACTTCACATTACTGACATCTAGCATCAAAGATATATCACACAAGATAATCTTAGCACTTCATTATCCATCTTTGATTAAAGGATTTTATCACAGTATATATGATAATGGCCAAAATCTTCACACCTTCAGAGATTTTTCTGAAACCTCTAATACATCCCAGGACAGCAAGTATAACAGTATATATCACTAGTAGCTGATTGATGACAGTATCACCTGTAGCTGATGCCACTATCACCAGTAGCTGATGCCAGTATCACCAGTAGCTGATGCCAGTATCACCAGTAGCTAATGCCACTATCACCTGTAGCTGATGCCACTATCACCTGTACCTGATGACAGTATCACCTTTAGCTGATGACAGTATCATCTGCACCTGATGACAGCGTCACCTGTAGCTGATGACAGCATCACTAGTAGCTGCTGACAGCATCACTAGTAGCTGATGACAGTATCATCTGTAGCTGATGACAGCATCACTAGTAGCTGATGACAGTATCACAGTAGCTGATGACAGTATCTCCAGTAGCTGATGACAGTATCACCAGTAGCTGATAACAGTGTCACCAGTAGCTAATTACAGTATCACTTGTAGCTGATGCCACTATCAACTGTACCTGATGACAATATCACCTTTAGCTGATGACACTTTCATCTGTAGCTGATGACAGTATCATCTGTAGCTGATGACAATATCCCCAGTAGCTGATGACATTATCACCTGTAGCTGATGACAGTATCACCAGGTGCTGATGACAGTATCACCAGTAGCTGATGACAGTATCACCTGTAGCTGATGACAGTATCACCAGTAGCTGATGACAGTATCACAGTAGCTGATGACGGTATCACCAGTAACTGATGACAGTATCACCAGTAGCTGATGACAGTATCACCAGTAGCTGATGACAGTATCACCAGTAGCTGATAACAGTGTCACCAGTAGCTAATTTCAGTATCACTTGTAGCTGATGCCACTATCAACTGTACCTGATGACAGTATCACCTTTAGCTGATGACAGTATCATCTGTAGCTGATGACAGTATCACCTTTAGCTGATGACAGTATCATCTGTAGCTGATGACAGTATCACCAGTAGCTGATGACAGTATCACCAGTAGCTGATGACAGTATCACCTGTAGCTGATGACAGTATCACCAGTAGCTGATGACAGTATCACCTGTAGCTGATGTCAGTATCACCAGTAGCTGATGACAGTATCACCAGTAGCTGATGACAGTATCACCAGTAGCTGATGACAGTATCACCAGTAACTGATTACAGTAAGGGTCCCTGGGGTCTCTGGAGATGCTGTAATTAGTTTGGTATCACTGACCAACATCTTGTGTAACCGAGTTGGATTGCGATGTACTGTATTCAATAATTTGCCACTCTGCAGAGAGAAAAATCACAAGTATTTATAATACATATAATGTATATTTATGGAATCCAATTTTGGAACCTATCCTGTGTTATGCACATCTGATTTTAATAATAATCTCAGATAATTTGGTAAAATATTACAGTCTACATACCATTGTTACTTTGTTAGTCTGCACTTACTTTGTAGTCCCAGACGTTGATTTTTTTCTGGTCCCCTCCACTGACTAATCGAAACTCATTGATATATAGACACCGTACTACCCCAAGATGTCCTGTCAATGTGTGTAAGTGGTTACCTTAAAGAACACAAACAAAACACATTGAAATATATAGACACTGTACTAGCCCGAGATATCAAATCAGTATGTGTATGTGGTTAACTTAAAGGATACAAACTCATAGATATAAGAGCTATAATACCACCAAGATATCCTGTCAATGCAAAGTGATAAAAACAAAACTCATTGATATTAGATCTGTACTACCCCATGATTTCCTGTCAATGTATGTGTGTAAGTGGTTACCTTAAAGGATACAAACACAACTCATTGATATTAGATCTGTAATACCCCATGATTTCCTGTCAATGTATGTGTGTAAGTGGTTACCTTAATGGATACAAACAAAACTCATTGATATTAGATCTGTAATACCCCATGATTTCCTGTCATTGTGTGTGTGTAAGTGGTTACCTTAAAGGATACAAACAAAACTCATTGATATTAGATCTGTACTACCCCAAGATTTCCTGTCATTGTGTGTGTGTAAGTGGTTACCTTAAAGGATACAAACAAAACTCATTGATATTAGATCTGTACTACCCCAAGATTTCTTGTCAGTGTGTGTGTAAGTGATTACCTTAAAGGATACAAACAAAACTCATTGATATTAGATCTGTACTACCCCATGATTTCCTGTCAATGTATGTGTGTAAGTAGTTACCTTAAAGGATACAAACAAAACTCATTGATATTAGATCTGTACTACCCCATGATTTCCTGTCAATGTATGTGTGTAAGTGGTTACCTTAAAGGATACAAACAAAACTCATTGATATTAGATCTGTACTACCCCATGATTTCCTGTCAATGTATGTGTGTAAGTAGTTACCTTAAAGGATACAAACAAAACTCATTGATATTAGATCTGTACTACCCCATGATTTCCTGTCAATGTATGTGTGTAAGTAGTTACCTTAAAGGATACAAACAAAACTCATTGATATTAGATCTGTACTACCCCATGATTTCCTGTCAATGTATGTGTGTAAGTAGTTACCTTAAAGGATACAAACAAAACTCATTGATATTAGATCTGTACTACCCCATGATTTCCTGTCAATGTATGTGTGTAAGTAGTTACCTTAAAGGATACAAACAAAACTCATTGATATTAGATCTGTAATACCCCGAGATTTCCTGTCATTGTGTGTGTGTAAGTGGTTACCTTAAAGGATACAAACAAAACTCATTGATATTAGATCTGTAATACCCCGAGATTTCCTGTCATTGTGTGTGTGTGTGTAAGTGGTTAAAGGATACAAACAAAACTCATTGATATATATATATATATATATATATATATATATATATATATATATACGGTATTACCCACTTTGAATATTTATGTGTTTAAATTTTAAGGACTGATAAGACATGTAAAATTAGTAAAAATTAGCACTACATAAAAATATATCTGTTATAAGGTATTTTCTCAATTTTTTAAACTATATATGAGGACACCTAACAAACACAGCTAAAACATCTCTTACATGCAAGAGCACTTCAGATTTGAAAAGATTGATTAGGTAAATTCTAATTGACTTGACGTCATTCATTTTAAATCCTTAATTATATACAAGGGGTACTTTGTAATGAATGCATTATATATCTTGTTACATCATTTAAACCTCAACCTCTTTGGCAATAAGGGTAGTACCAATAAGTTCTTTACAGTGATGTAATTTATGCCAAACCTCAGAATGACTGCTATCTTTTAAGAAGCCTACGATATTGCATAACCCACAGAAACCCCTTGTCTCTCTCTATCATTTATCACTGCCTGTCATCAGTGTTATTTTTTTCCTTCCTTTAAATTTAGAAAAATGTTGCATTTCTGTCAAGTTAATTTGTAGCAGATGAAAGCTATCCATCACCTTAAAGTTCTTCTCCTTTAAACTGATAAAAAAAAGAAAGAAAGAGCAGACCTGTAAAATTTTCAGCTCAATAAGACAGTAAAACTTCCTTGAATGCTGTAAGTTTAAAAGAATTAATCATATACAATTTTGTTAAATTGATTTATAAATTTTGCTGACTAAGATATATAAATAAATTGATAGTGGGGTAAAATATAAGATAAACAATTCAATTCATGGATTTTGTGTCTCCCACCTGAGGAAAAAAGGAAAGGGTGGAAGATTTGAAAGAAATGCAGATGGAGAAAGAAACTAGAAGTACTGTGAGCACTGAGCTCACAAAATGATATACATTCCCCCAACATGAGTGTAATGGCAAAGTCCATTTTTTGCTATGGGAAACCTCAAATATCTGTCCGATCAGAACACAAAATAGGAGGTGCACAATGGAACTATGTAATAAAGATTCTGTGAGTTTGATTAAATTTTATAAACTGGTATAGGTGGAGTTGGGGATAGGAGATTGGTACCCCAAAGTGTTACTGATGTATGGACAGAAGGACACAAACATCTCCATCACTAAAAAACCTCCCGCTTTTCAAGCAGGGGGTATGAAAAAAAGGTAGACCATTACCTTTCAGCTTTTGGCCTGAAAGTCAATAATGGTCTTTTTTAGTTAAAGAAATTCATGACCTTAAGTTTCATTGCAAAAAAACAAAGAACTAAATTTATCATGTAAAAACTATGTTCATGTGTGCAATATATGAATTTCTGACTGTGGTCTTTGACCTTTTGACCTCAAAATCAATAGGTGTTTTTTTTTAAGCTATAGTGACTAACAGTATAAAATGTCATTGCAAAACCTCAAAGAGAACTAAAATTATCACCAGGAAACCATTATGAGCAAGACGTGCATTTTTGACCTTGACCTTTTGACCTCAAAATCAATTAGTCTTCTTTAAGCATTATAGGTTATGACATAAAAATCCATTGCAAAAGCTCAAAGAAAAATAAAGCTATCATCAGGAAACCATTTCAGAAATGTATGAATTTCTGACCTTGACCTTTTGACCTCAAGATCGATAGGGGTCTTCTTTACAGCACTGGGTGTAATGATATAAAATTTCATTGCAAAAAGCTAAAAGACATTTTGAGATATCATCTGGAAACTAAAGTGTTGAATATATAAATTTTTGATCCTGACCTTTGACCTTTTGACCTCAAAATAAATAGGAATATATTTTTTTGTAGATTTTGAGAGTTATAGTATAAATTTTCATTGAAAAAGTTTGATGAAAGCTAAAGTTATAACCTGGAAACCATTTTTTGCAATGTATGAATTTCTGACCTTGACTTTTGACCTACTAAACTCAAAATCATTGGCAGTCTTTTTTAGGCCATGGGGAGTTGTTATATAAAACTGCAAAAGCTCGAATGCTTTTTGAGATATGATCTGGAAACTTAAGTTTTCCACACAGAAAAATATGGAGGGTAATGGTGTTCAAAAATCCAGACTTTTAAGTTTGCAAATCCAAACTTGTAATCGTATCAGTGTCATAGTCTACATAGGTACATGTAAGTAGGTAATTCCGACATCCTAGCATGCAGTTCTGAATATACAACTGTGTTGAATTTGAATTTATACTACGAATGTGTGTGTTTTTGATTTTATAAACTTGTTTATATATCCGCGCTCTGAATAAAACACAAAGACAATTGACAAGTCTGCAAATGTAAAGTCTACATGTTTATTGAATTTTGATAATGAGAAACTATGGAGGGGCATCAGTGCCACAATTATTTTTTAAATGTTCTTATTTTCTTTTTTTTTTATCTTTTTGTTTTCCAAATTAAATTCTTCATTTTTTTAAAATTTATTTTAATTCTTACTTCTTGAAGGCACAGATCTAGAAGGGGGTCCAGACCCCCCTCCCCCTGAAATTTGCAGACTTATTAAATGTTTATACTAAACGAACTAAAAGTAACCTTGGACCCCCTAGAAAACACTGATCTGTGTTAAGTTGACGACTACCCTCCCCCCAACACACACAAGTGCGCATGCGCGCGCGAAAATAGATTTTCATGCTTGGGAAAGGAGTTTACTTTTTTTTTTTTTTGCTTGTCAAGAAATTTCTGGGTTGGATTTTTTTTGAACTGGGATGGACCCTCCCCCTGGAAAAAAAATCCTGGATCCGCACCTGTTCTTGTTTATATTTTCCAGTTTTATTTTATTTTATTTATTTTATTATGGCAATTTTGATTCCTTTCGTATTTTGATTCTATCTTAAAATTTCAATTATGTTTCACTTCACCTAACTTAATACTTTTTTTGGTAACAGCTATAAGCAAAATCGAAAGTTTGTCTAAGAAAGTAGAACTTACAGAGTTAAACTAAGAAATCCGAATAAAATTTAAACGAAAAGGGGCGCTATGGCCTTTTATGTACAGGTACACAGAGATCTTGGCGAACAGTCTATCTACAAAACGTTGAAACATTTCTCTGGAACATTTTTTTTTTCATTTTAAAAACCATATATCATTCTTGCGTGTTTTCTATCGTTTTCAGGCCCATAGGAAGCATTTTCATTGGATGGGGGTGTGGGTGGAGCAGTGGACACAAAACAAAAATTTCTTGATAAGCTCCCCCCCCCCCCAAAAAAAAGGGACATTCCTGTTGAGGGGGCACAACGATAAATTAGCCTTATTTATTTTCTTATGTATTTACCAAAAAACTATTGAGGGGGCACAATTAATCAGAAATTGCCTTTTTTTCATTGGTATGGTATATACTGGCACCCTCACCCCACTCGCTGCCTATGTCATGGCCTTAGGAACCGGGGGGATATATAGATTACTATAGTAAACATAGATAGTATATGTCTGTGCCCACTCAATAAAAACGTCTGATGACCTCTTCTTTTTATTACTTGCTTGTCAGGAAATTTTTGGTAACTATAGTGCCCCCTCAACTGTCAACTGCAAATGTATGGCTGTGCCCCCCCCCAACTGAATTTGCTTCTTACGGGCCTGACGGACCTGGTTCGGAGCCCTAAAACTTAGATGAGCTCATTTTTGATCTCAGTCTCTCTATTCTATACATACTATTAATTCCTTTGGTAAACGTGAGACTGTGATCAAAAGTGAACCCGTCTAAGTTTTATGGCCCTGGTGCAAGATGTTTCAAATATGATAAATATGACTGCCATTTTTGATTGCCCACTTATGCTACACAAATATCAGGTATCTTTAAATTGATATTGTCATCACATTTTTTTTTAAAGTAGGACAGAGAAAAAAAATTTTCAGTAACAAATCTCAGGGCCGAAGTAGAAGGGAGTGAAAGGTTGGGCACTTTTTTGTGCAGAGAATAATCTTTTGCAGCTGTTTTAATATGAAAATTCATTTACAGGCTGTACGCCCAACCACCCACCACCCTTATTTTGCATTATTATTAAACTCTGGCAAATTCTTGCATTGAAAAAAAAAAGTTACTGAAAAGTTAAAAATATCCTACACATCGCCTTCCATGAAGGAGGAGTTTTGGCAGTTTATTTATTTATTTTTTCATCCTCAATTTTTTGGAGCCCCCCTCCTTTCGATAAACATTGATATGAATTAATCTGCAATTACTGAGTGGTTGTCTTTTTTTAATATGATATCATTGCAGTTACATTAGTTCTTAATAAACTGGGGCACTGATCACAGTAGCCTAGTGGTTGGGCGCTAGCTTCGTAGACCATGGGAGGGAAAGAATTCGCTTGTCCTAAGTTCCTAATGCCGGCCAGCAAAATGTAAGACATTTAACATATGTGTTGGTAATGACTATTCCTTCGGCATTGAAAGTCAAATTGAATGATTTTTCGGTTGAGACCTTCAAAACGGAAGCCCCTCTAGATCCGCGCAAGCCGTGAATAAGCGGGTAATGATTCATGTCACATCGTCAAATAAAATAAAATTAAGAAGATAAAATAAAATTGGAATATATGAACAAAAAGTTAGAATTAAAATTAAATAAGAAATTCAAATGAAAACATTAATATAAAAGTGGAAGTTAGAAAAAAAGAAAAGAAATAATATCTAAATAATTTATTTCAGTTGGAAAAAGAAGAACTTAGAATAAAAAAGGGGAAAAATGTGGCACTGATGCCCCTCCATAGTTTCTCATAATCAAAATTCGTGTAGACTTTACATTTGTAGACTTGTCAATTGTCTTTGGGTTTTATTCAGAGCGCAGAAATGTAAATTCCGGAAAACAAAGTTCACAACATCAAAAATACATTCATAGTATAAACTCAAAGTCAACACGGTTGTATGTTCGGAACTACATGCTAGGATATCGGAATTACCTACTTACATATGTAGACTATGAAACTGATACGATTACAAGTTTGGATTTACAAACTTACAAGTTTGGATTTACAAACTTACAAGTCTGGATTTTTGAACACGATTACCCTCCATAGAAAAAAAAAGCATAAATTTTTTACCTTGACCTTTTGTAGTGTTTTGAAAAATTGTTTACAGACAGATGTACAGACAGACGAATGACGGACACCTTAATATCGCATAAGCTCTTCTGGTCTCTGACCAGTAGAGCTAATAATGACATCTTGCCATCATTAGGTTCAATGATGGCATCTAAAAAAGAGGCCCAAGGGCCTTAATGGTCACCTGAGTATAATTCAACACTATTAAGGAACCAGAGATTGAAGTATAAAATAAAACAAAATAAACTAATAGATAGAGCTATGCTGCCCAAAAGCAAGAGAAATAGTATGATCAGGGATCATCAAAAGAATTAGTGTTGTACTAGTAACAAATCTTAAAAGTAGATCTATTTACTTGCCTGTGCTTGGCCCCCATTTGTCACTTTCACCATGCAGACTAAACAAAACTATAGTGCTTGCACAATACAGTAAAACCATGCTTACAGCGAACACGCTTATAATGAATTGACGTTTACAGTGAAGTGATTTTCATTCCCCGTGACTTTAAACTGTATTGTGATACTGACATAAGGAATTACATTTAATACGAATCAAAATCATCTGTCTCTGGCACTTGGTTATAAGAGTGTTTTACTGTATTAGTAAACCCAATCTCATTTGCTATCACACTGTCCTCTCTTTGTCTTTGAAGAACATTTAACGTACATAGATATTTTTGCCTCATTTGTATATATCTATTAATTATAAGTCTATCTGACCATTAAAAACTAAGAAAGTACTTTTTGTAAAATATTATGAAAATTCTTGCATAATTCTCTCATTCAAATTGACCTTTCAATTACATTATTTACAGTGATTAATTATCATAGGTGAATAGAAAACAGGCATAACCTCTCACAGTAGAATACAAATTAATATAGCCCTGCCCAGCACCAAATCACTTGACCAAGTGTTCCAGACCCTAACAAAAAATACTTTAATTATTTAACTATAATTTACTGCAGTATCAAATATATATTCTATAGTGAATCAAAGTTTTTATTTCAGTGAATCAAAGTACCTTTGAATTTCAAATTGTTTTTTTTTATTTTCTTAAATTCCCATATGTGGTTTTCTGATATTAAAAGGAATTATTACTATATTCACATAAATATTCCCAAAATTACATCATTGGTATGTAACTAAGAAATATTAAGGCTCTAAATATTCAAAAAATTTTAGAATAACGTTTCATAGGAAATCAAAGTATCAACATATTAACTATAGTTGACTATAATAGTAAATGTTTATTAGGGGAATTTCAAAAATCAGGCAAATATACCCTTGCTTATTACAGCTCTATAATCTGTTTGCCTCCTAGATGTCCAAGAGCAGAGAAGATTTTCAAAGAAATAATGCATTTTCACTACGTAATCAGCACAGCCCCCTTCCCACCCCACCCCCCAAGGAGTCCCTTACCCTTGGGCATCAAATTTCACAATCTAAAATCTTTAAAAACACACATTTGCTCATCATAACCATGCACTTAGTTTATCTGCTGAATATCCAGGAGCAGGGAAAATTTATAGGAGTTCCTTACCCTTGGGCATCAAATTTCACAATCTAAAATCTTTAAACACACACATTTGCTCATCATAACCATGCACTTAGTTTATCTGCTGAATATCCAGGAGCAGGGAAGATTTACAGAGAAATGATGCATTTTCACTATATAATCAAAAGAGCCCCACCCTTACACCAGAACCCAAGGGCCATGAAATTCATAGTTTTGGATTGATTGATTGATTGATTGTATGTTGTTTTACGTCCCATTCGAGAATTTTTCACTCATATAGAGACGTCACCATATACCGGTGAAGGGCTTCAAATTTTGACCTTTACTCGGCACTCAGGGCCATTGAGCAGTGAGGGATCTTTATCGTGCCAACGCCTGCCGTGACACGGGGCCTCGGTTTTTAAGGTCTCATCCGAAAGACCCGCAACTTTCACTCCAAAGTGCCGAGCGCATGGCGAAGGAACAGTTGCTACCTATTTTTTATCGACTTTGGTCTGTCGTGGCCGAGATTCGAACTCACGACCTCCCGATCACGGAGCGAGCGCTCTACCGACTGAGCTACCGTGAACGGTCATAGTTTTGGAAGAGGGACACTTGCTCATCATAACTATTCTTGGTTTGTTTGCTTAAAACACAGAAGCAGAGAAAATTTTCAAAGAAAGAATACACTTTCACTATATAATCAAAAGCCCCCCTCCCGCAGAACCCTTCAAACTGGGGCCACAAATTTCACAATTTTGGAAGTAGTACTCATACTCATCATAACCATGCACCTAGTTCATCTGCTGAATATAAAGGATGAGAGAAAAAGAATTTTCCTGAATTTATGCACTTTCACCATATGATCCTAACTCCAGAACCCCTGATCCTGGGGTCATGAATTTCAGATTTTCATAGAGGGCTCAATGCTCATTTCAATCATGCCAACAATTTGACTGCTTGATGTCCAGGAGTAAAAAAGAATATTTTCAAAGATAGCACTAATTTCGATGGTTTTAGCCCTACCCCTAAGGCTCCAGGTGGGCAAGGACCATGAAAGGATGTATTCACAATATCAAAAGAATTGACCTATAGGAGAGAATAAATTCCCGAAAAAATGACATTTAAAAATCCTTGTTTATTAGTTGTTTTCTACCGTACATATGTCTAAATTTTTCAAATTTGTATTTTGCACCTAAAATTTATTATTTAAAACTTTAGAATAAACCTCCAAAGTTGGCCAAAACAGCATTTTGTCCGTTAAAGCGTCGATTTTTGCATGAATTTTGTCCTAGAAGTCCTTCAGGGCAGGCCTGCCCCTAAATAAATTTGTGATATTTCGATAGGTTGGGATGTAAGGAAAAATTTAAGATAGGATTTTTTTAGGGGCACCCCTGCCCTAGGGTCGAAATTCACAAAAAACCTACAAAAAATAAGGAAACCTGATTTTGACAATCTGTTTCACATTTATACAATGTATTATGAAAGTCAGAATTATGGCAAGCCCTTTTACTATTTATTCGTAAAATAAATTTTCACTCAAAATTACAGAGATATCTCTTATTTTAGAGAGATATCTCTTAAAAAACAGAGATATCTCTCAATTTAAAGAGATATCTCTCAACTTAAAGAGATATCTCTCTAAGAGAGAGATATCTCTCTAAGAAAGAGATATCTCTTTCACTTAGAGAGATATCTCTTTCACTTAGAGAGATATCTCTTCCACTTAAAGAGATATCTCTTTTCCTTTGAGAGATATCTCTTTCGTTAAGAGAGATATCTCTTAATGTTAAAGAGATATCTCTTTCACTTAGAGAGATATCTCTTTCATCTAGAAAGATATCTCTTTTACTTTGAGAGATATCTTTCCAACTTAAAGAGATATCTCTCAAAGGAGAAGAGATATCTCTCTAAGTTTATCCTAAGAGATATCTCTCAAAGTGAAAGAGATATCTTTCAAAAGTGTCCAAAAGAGATATCTCTCAAGCAAAAAGAGATATCTCTTTACTGTAAAGAGATATCTCTCTACATTATTTTTATTTAAAAAGCATTTTTAATGACTTCTCCCTTTACCGGAAGTAAGCTTTATATTCACGGAAATGCATTAAATCAAAACGAAAGTAGAGACGGGAAAGTAGAACATGTGGTGTTTTATGTATTTGTGAGCAAATTACTGACTTGCAGGTGTAACAATGACCCCAAGATACGACACAAAAAGGGAGCTGTCCTTCTACAAGTGCTTGATCAACTGATTTAATGGAAAGAAGTTCAGAGTAAGAAACTTAGCCGATCATGAAACATCGTAAACGTATCACAGGGGCTTGCTCCCGAAATGTAAACAATATAAATTAAAAAATATATATATATTTTAAAACCCATCGTGATGACTGATACAATTTAGTAGATCTACAAATAACGAGTTGGATAACTTGTGTTATTAATATACTATCATACTATGGGTTGAAAAAAGTATTACAGAAACAAGTGCCTGTGGAAAGCGAGTAGACCATTTGATTCTGAAAGGGGGGAGTGACTTGCAGATTTTGAAAATAAATAATCTGAACCTCAAAATGTTGAAAACAAATAAGTTGTCCTTCTCCCCCCCCCCCCCCCCCTTGAGTGTGTGTTTGTGTAAGGGGGGGGGGTTAAAATGTTATAAGTGAAGAAAAATATATATATAATCTTCTGTATTTATCATCTTGAAAATAGTTAGTTTGTCCTTCACTGGTATGGAAAGAAATAAGCTGACTTGAAAAATAGCCCTCTATCCCCCCTTCTTAGAATGAAATGATTGTTCCCTTAATTTTGAAACATATTTAGCTTTCCTGTGCTGAAGGCTCAATTGAGCTTTGAATTCTGATCTAAATTTGTGGATCAAATGAAAGATATTCAAATTAAAGATCCCACTCTCTTTCAATAGGAGATAATAGATAATTAGTGAAACTTTTATGACATATTTGATAAATATAAATCTTTCTCAAGAACCACTGGGCCAGGTGAGTTGAAACTTATGTGCAAGCTTTATTATATAGTGTAGATTCACGATCATTCATAGCTTAATTGACTCTCTAAGGTAGTATGGGGCAACAATGGGTGATCAAGTTTTACATTAGAATATGTAGGAATTTTTTATAGAATCTTCTCAATCAAGCTAAGGTATAATTGTTCATACAGTAAAATCTCATTAACTCAAACTCGATTAGACCAAGAAAAAACTTTGAGATATCTGAGGATTCAAGATATCAAGGGTATATTACTTAAACAATAAGCAATTGGGACTTCGACATATCCATGGTATTCGAGATATCAGTGTTCTCGATACTGAAGTTCAACTGTATTTACATGGAAGCATTAGGTTGTGTATTGTACGTTCAATTAAATTTGTTCAAATTATGACATGGGGGGTATGGTGGGGCCATTATGAGCAATTAAAGTTTTACAAAGGAATATATATGGAAACAAATCTTTAAAAATCTCTTCTCAAGAACAATAAAAAGATAAGTAATATTTCTAAGGAAGCTGGGATCCTCATGTTTCCAGGGGCTAGGGTTGAGCCAGCTAGAACAGGCAAAACGATCAAGTTTTACTTCGGAAGATGGGGGGGGGGGGGATCTGCTTATAAAGAACAACATGGTCATAGTGACTAAGGTGATCTTTGTGGCCATGGGCCTTTTGATTTCATGTTTTTCTAGGGCAGATGCAGACCACTGTATTTAATTTGAAAAGATCAGTTACATGTAATGATTAATGAAACATCCCCTACAAATTTTTTCTGTCATTGTCTCAGATATGAAGTGCAACAAGGATATGTTCAACACACTTTCTGTGACACTTGTCTTTGAATGCAAAGGATGTCCAAGATTCCAGTGATTGTAACAAGTCAATAGGATTACCTGAAAAAGTGTGAGTTAATTTTTACATGTGTATGTATTATTTTATTATAACTTAGAAATATGCTGTTAACAACATTGAAACGTGAAATAGATCAATTCAAAAAGACATTATGTTCTCTTAAAGTCTTAAAAGATTTTTCCTTGTGTATGTGTAGGTCACAAGTACAGTCTGCAGAGACAAGCACTTCTATCATTGAGGGAAAGTCTGCATTGTCAAGTTCTTTGCATAGACAGAAAAGAGATAAGCAATGGGTGTATGGACCAGACCAGGATTCAAGTCAGGGCCCCCTGAATCAGTAGTCATTTGCTCTACCAATTCAACTATCTGGCCACCAGAAATCGAACCCACCTGAATGCCCTATATGGATCTGTGGAACTCTGAAATATCCAAGATTTATCAATAAGAGAGGTTTTACTCCACCTATGTCAAGTGACCATAATTTAACAATTCACTGTATACACTTCAACAAAACTGCAACCCAAGAAGAAATTATTGTCCTATTATTAATCTTCTGGCTACAGAAAAAAAATTACGTGTGATGTTAGTATAGTTTTTTTATTATGTTTACTGATACTGTGGACCTTATTTAAACTTGTAGGATATCAATCTCCTATGCAGAGTTGTCATTTGTTCCTCTCTCAGACATGTATGGGCCAATGGTAGAGAGTGGTAGAATATTTCACATGTATAATATTTTTACACAATACATTCAATTTAAAGGCAGTCAAGTTTATAACTTAAGATTTTTGTTTTTTTTCAATTCTAGCTCCCAATACACAAGTATAAGTTTCATTTTTCATTCATCTATAAGTAATGTAAATTTTTTGTCCTTTCTTTCATTTTCTTTTCTATATGTTGTTCATATTTACCTTACACTTTTTTGAGTGAGGGCTGAATGAAAAGGCTGACTGTAGCCCAAACCCTGATTTCCTATTGAAGAAGCATTGGAAGTTTGTGCCTCATGCATAAATTGAATATATGTGTGATGGCCTTGACCCAAGGTTATTTGATGAAGTTTGAGGTGATTTTATAAAATAAAAATTTATAAAAATCTATAATTCCTGTTTGACTATATCTTGTAATTGAGAACATTTAGAGGCTCATACTTATCGCAAATATTGAGCATGACCTGCGGTTATGACTAATCTTAAATCAAGGTCATTTTTAAGCAAGTTCAAGGTAACTGGCAGAAAAAGTGTATTACCTTTGTCAAATGCATAATTTGCAAATGATACTTGACACAAAGATTGCTTATGACTAAATGGTGTTTCATGACCTTATCCAATGTCAAGATTACTGGCAGTAAATGTGTGAAATTTGTTTTCATTTCATTACTCCCTCATGGATAAGTATTGAAACTGGAAACTTCAAAGATTATTTGTAAGCTGAAAGTACATCATAACCTTTACCCATGATATTGTGGCAAGTTCAAGGTCATTGGCAAAAAAAATTGCTCATGTCAGGTCCATAATGTCTTAATGGAGAAACAGTAAATATCTCCCTTTTATTTAAAGATTTATGATGAATAGAAGATGCATCTTTTCTTTCTTAACCAGTATCATTTTGGCAAGTTCAAGGTCACATTTAGAAAATTGATATTGGCATTTTCAGAAAAAAAAAATGTATAGGGGGTATAATGTTGGAGTTTGTTCACAGTTATTGAATTATATAGGCATAGTTCAATAATAGTATACATGCAGGTAGATTATGACAATTCAGCCATAACTGGAAGGTATTTTTGAATCCTTAATGATAGAATTTTTGCAGATTTAGATTTTACTGACTTAAAGTTGCATAATGAGTCAAAACCATGTGTTTCTTTTAAGAAAATTGTATCACAAAACAAAAGATTTCTGTGAAATATGAATATAGCAAAGTTTTGACAACTCAACTGCACTGTAAAGCAAGAAAAAAAACTGCAAAATATAAGTGCCGGAAAAACAAATGTTGTATCTATTGCTTTGTTTTTATCGTCAATGTCAACAATGTCAAGGTCACGCGTCCTTTATTTTTAGCGTGAAACTTGTAAACAACATTGAATTCGGGCAAGCAGAAGTAAGGAATAAGTTATGATCATCTTTTTTGAAGATTGTTTCAAAATTCTCAGTCATCCGACATTTATATCTATGGAATTGAAACCATGGTAAATTCTTCAACTTTTCAGCGCATGCGTACAATAAAGAGGAAGACATGAAGCAATATTTTTGTGATGGGTTATACCAAGATTTTTTTTACTCTTATTTTTCTCCATTAAATTAGATTTTTTAGGTTCTGAAACCTGTAATTTTCTGAAACCTAATATCTTCAAGAACTGAACAAAATTTGCATGTGTCATGCAAAAATTCTACTGTTGTCAATTTTCCCGTTTGTCCGTCACAGTGTCACTTTAACTTGGGAAGACCTCTTAAATAAAAAAAGTCACATAAGTATAAGCATCAGGGCGACTATACTTTATATTACAATTTTTCATAGCATGTATTACCAGTACACAAAAAACAAGTATTGGTATGTACATGTAATAACCTTTTTATCTTGAATTCAAATAAAGATATTAAAAACACTAGCTGATACATTGTTTTATTGACTTGGGAATAAATTGCTTTGTCATTGTTGAAATGTGGATACATGCATATACACGGTACCAGAAAGTAATTAAACTTTTTCAAACAATTTTAGACATTTAAAAACAAGTAAATGTGCAGAGAGTGTAGAAGTCTGTGCATCACTTTTCTTGGCCTGGAATTCTTCAAACAGGACAGGATAGGTTTGGTAGGACACCCTCAGATTTTCAACTTTGTTTAGGTAGTTGCTTCTTGTGATTCACCTGTGAAATTATTATTTCAAAAATAAATATAACAAAATGTAGTAATGTAACTGATCATTCAATGTCAAGCAAATAAAGGAATAGATAATATAAAATTAAAAACAAGAGGCCCAGGGGTCACATCGCTCACCTGAGCACTATGGCTAGGAAAAAGCAGAAATCAGTTTAGTCTTGAAAGGTTGAAAAGTTTAAATATAAAAGTGGTTGGGGGGGGGGGGGGGGGGTTATGAATTGAACAAATTTGAATCTACATTACCTGAGTATGCTTCCATTTAAATATGACCAATCATGGCTTTGCTGTTCTTGAGTAGAAGATTTTTAAAGATTTTTCCTACATATTCCTATGTAAAACTTTGATCACCCATTGTGGCCACACCTGACCCCCCAGGGGTCATGTTTGAACAAACTTGATTCTACACTAATCTAAGAATGCTTCCATATAAATATGACCAATCATGGCTTTGCTGTTCTTAAGAAGTAGTTTTTTTTTTTAAAGACATTTATTATGTATTGCTATGTAAAACTTTGATCGCCCATTGTGTCCCCACCCAACCCCAGGGGTCAAGATTTGAACAAACTTGAATGTACACTATCTGAGGATGCTTCCATGTAAATATGACCAATCATGGCTTTGCTGTTCTTGAGAAGAAGATTTTTAAAGATTTTTCCTATATATTCCTATGTAAAACTTTGATTGCCCATTGCGGCCCCACCCAACCCCCGGGGGTCATGATTTGAACAAATGTACACTATCTGAGGATGCTTCCACATAAGTTTCATATTTTCAAGCACAGTGGTTCATGAGAAGAAGATTTTTTAATGATGTAATTAATTTTTCACAAATTCATAATTATCTCCCCTTGGAAGAAGGCGTGGCCCTTTATTTGAAAAAATTTGAATCCCCTTTACCCAAGGATACTTTGTAGCAAGTTTGGTTGAAATTGGCCCAGTGGTTCTGGAGAAGAAGTCGAAAATGTGAAAAGTTTACAGACAGACGGACTACAGACAAAATGTGATCAGAAAAGCTCACTTGAACCTTCGGCTCAGGTGAGCTAAAAATATGAAAGTGAGAGAGGGCCAAACTAAGGGTTTAATTATTAATTCATAATGGAAGTAAACAAGCTTGAAAGACACACAATTCAATCTTAGAACTTGTACCTGGTATTTCTTAAATTTTAAGTTCATTTACAGTGTATGTAGGTGTCAACCTTTCATCAACTACTTCTGTATATAATATTGAAGGGTTTTAATTTGTAAGACAGAGTGAATTAAAGTTATACATGTTTTTATTTATGTGTATTTAACACATCACCATAAATGTGATGACGCAGAATGGTCTACAAACAAACAAACTTATTTTGTGTGATCTCGTAAACTACATGTGTCTTCCTTCTGTGGCCAAACATGTATAAAATTTGAAAGCTTAAGGATATTATAAAGAAAACTAATATTGTTGACTGAGTTATATCCCATTCCCATATAAATGTTCAATGAAATCTATTCATAGTGATTGGACCCTTACAACTATAGTTGTCTTTCTGTAATGGACAATTCCTCTGTGTAACATTTTTTTTTAAGTAATGAGGTAAATCAAAGATTGTTGAACAGATGGAATTCATTAAGATATGATTAATATATTTTATTAATATTTAGTCATGCAAACAGTAAGAATAAATACCTGTTGGCTCTCTGTTCCCTTAGGAATACACCAGGTCTAGAGCACAGTCCTAAGTTAGCTTAGAGTACATTGATCAATCTCAGCTTTACACTAGCTGGCATTATGACAAAGAAGGGGACACAACTCAGATGTCTCAACCTGCAACACACAAATTATTTGAAGTGACCTGTTTTACACTATATCAGAGATAAAAAAAAAATCTCCCAGTCATGGTTACTTTATGGAAGGTATACTCAATGAATTGTGCCTAGTCACTGAAACTGCTTCTTGTCAATACCAAACAGCCAATTTCTGACATAAAATTATTTACATCTTTTGAATTTAAATAAAATTAAATGAAAAGTGATTTGGAATATTACTGGTATGTACCCTAAATGACTGCACTGAACTGTAAACTTTGCTTAATTTCAGAAATATTTGATTTCAAAAATATAAAAAAAAAATTCCAAGGAATTGTCAGAGAATGTACATGTACCATGATAGATTAATTTTGCTGGGAAATGAAAACAAAGACCAAAGGGCAAGGATTTTACTTTACAAACTAGATGTGTATGGTAACACCACAAATGCCCCCGCAGACAGCCAAAATTTCAAATTGCAAATTGTAAATTGCACATTTGTAGCCAAGATAATGATTAGAAATTGAGAAATTTTAAATCTTTTCCAAGTTCAAGGGGGATAACTGTCAATACCATGACCAAATTCAAACTTGACCTGCACATTCCTATGACGTATCCATATATCAAATTTGAGTTGAATGTGTACAACTGTTGCCGAGATGATGACAGAATGACGGAACAGGGTAACACTATATCCCCCCCCCTCCCCCCCCCGACCATTTTATGGTGGGGGCATAAAAATTCTGAAGATTAAGGGGTACCTATATTCTCCTACATTTCAGATGACAAGGAAAATATTTCTATTCTGCTAAGGCAAATTTTCAAACTTCTAAAAAAAAAAAAAAACAAGTTCAAGCTATAGATTTTCCATAAAAAAGTGTTGCAATTATGACTTGGCAATCCATTTTTATAATTTTTATTTCCATTTCATACAATAGAATTTGCATCAAAATCAAAGAATGTCTAGATCCCTTTCCTTTAGTGAGAGCAGAAAAAATTAAAATTAGACCCAACTAGATCGCAATGTGTAGCAATCTTGTTGGAGCGGAATAAAGATCTAATTTTAGTTAAACTGAATTTATTTAAATTTGTTAATTTTTTGTGCGATTTATTGAAGGATAATGACTAGCACATATTATTGATCTTTGCAATCAATCAGAGTTCAG